CCTGGGCGCTGTCCCTCAGCTCTTCAGCTCAAGGCTAGCACTCTACCACTTGAGCCACAGCACCACTTCCGGCTTTTTTCTTTTTGCTTATGTGGTACTGAGGAATCAAACCCAGGGCCTCATGCATGCAAGGCAAGCGCTCTACCACTGAGCCACCTTCCCAGCCCCAGCAAGATGTGTTCTATCCTCTGAAAATATATTCCTGGAAACATTCTGAAGAATTGCTAGTATTGCCTGGTACTGACAGAGACTAGACAAGCAAGTTTATAGCTATTTGAAATAAATAATAATAGACAGAACTGCTTACTAAAAAGTAACAAGTGGTAACTTACAACTCATGTAACATTTACTTTGTTACCAGTTATTTGTGCTATTAGGTTAAACTAGAGATTTTTCCTTTAATACTAATGTCTAGACAAAGGCAAAACAGGATCATCAATAATATAAAACTTGCTATATCACTTCCGAAAGGTATTTTTTTGAATAAGTGATATCTTACTGCCTAATTTGGAACTGTTATCAATGATCTAAGACAGAGAAAAAGCAATTTGGAAAATACACTGAAAGGACTAATACTGGTTTGAGTTTTTACTTTTCGTAACAATGAAAAAGACCCACACCATCCTAAAACCTTGAGGGACTTACGCTTAATTTTTTTTACAGCTTTGATGTACTGTCCACGAAGTTCTTCCAGTGCCTGTCCACTGTATTGTGGGTAAACACTTTCAATGGCTCCTTCTGACAGTGACCTAAAGACATGATTGCAAAACTTGAGATTGTAAGTGGAACACTTCACTTTCAAAAAACATACCTGCATTCATATATTTGAATAAAAGTAAGAGTGGCTAAAGTTTTGTTTTACCCCACTGAGGTTTGAATTGCTTGAATCATTCCCCCAACCCTTTTTGCTGTGGCTACTTTTAAGATAATGTCTTGGGCTGTTTTAGTTGTTTACCTGCTCCAGCCTGGACTCTGATCCCCTATTTCATCTTCCCAAGTAGCTAGGATGTCAGGTGTATCCCCCCATGCTCAGCTTTCTCTGCAGAGATGGTATCTTGTGAGCTTTTTGCCCAGGTTGGCCTTAAAACTATGATCCACCCAACCTCTATCTTAAGTGGCTAAAATTATAGTTGTGCTAACAACTTCATGTACAAGGAAAATAAAGGAAAAACTTTAATATTATGGTTCCTTAAATACAAAATGTTAAATCCTCATGATGAAAGTGTATGAAGGACGGTGATATAGCTCAGTGGCAAAATACAATGCCCTGGGTTTGATTCCAAGTACCAAAAAAGAAGACAAATAATAATAATATAGTTTAAAAAAACAGGCTGAGAATGTGGCTTAGTGGTAGAGTGTTTGTCTAGCATGCATGAAGTCCTGGGTTAATTCCTCAGTACCACATAGTGTGGCTTACTTGGTAGAGTGCTAGCCATGAGCAAAAGCAGCTCAGGGACAGTGCCAAGGCCCTAAGTTCAAGCCTCAGGACTGGCAATTTAAAAAAAAAAATTATAAAGCTACTAAAATGTATATTCTAGGAAAATATCTCCTAACATGGTAAAAGTCTTTTCTAATAAATATGGAGCCAATAAAGGGTTACAATAAACCCAACTTAAACACATTGTATATATTTCATGGATGTATAAAAAGGCTTGAGTGAAGCTGGGCGTGGTACCATATGCCCATATCCCAGGACTCGGGAGGCTGAGGCAGAAGGATCTAAAGTTCAAGACCAGCCACTTAGTGAATTTTAAGCCAGCTTACCTTACATAGTGAGACCTTGTCTCCAAACATACAGAGGAAGAGAGAGAGAGAAAAAAAGAGAAAGAGAAAGAAAGGGAGAAGGGGGGGGGGGGGGG